GTGTGTGTGTGTGTGTGTGTGTGTGTGTGTGTGTGTGTGTGTGTGTGCATGAATGTCTCACTAATATGTTTCTCTCCTTTCTTTTTTTTTTTTCATTCTTCACATCATTTCAGGGTTATGATAGCAGACACTATTACAAGACATGGTGTAGAAACCTAAATTAAATGAATACAAACAAGTAGCACATACAGAGGTGAGAGACCCAGTCCACGATACATGAAAAGAAAAGATGTCATCCACAATCACATTTTTTGTCTTCGCCATCTAAACAGGCACTCCATTGATCTATTGAGCATAAACTCTGCATCCCGATCTTTCAAATCTGGAGCTTTTGCTATTTTTTAATGCCGAAAACACAAAACAGGATTCAAAGGGATTGCTGAAAACAAACCTGTCAGAACTTCTATAACTTTGACTCACTAATGTACATTCTCGTATACGATGAAGGAAAGTTCCCACTTCTATTCTGCTCTTTCTCTTCTTTCCACATCTTTCCCTATTATGTGTTTCAGACTCACTGAGCGGATACAACATAAGCCTCTGAAGTCAGATTTCACTATCGACTTGAAACATGAGGTACTTTGAAACAGATTTCAGGAGCTTTGTGAATCTGTGTGTCATCTGCTGCCTATTACTAAAATAGACAACTGTTGTAAAGACTCTGTTGTGGTTCACCACTTTGCGCCTCAACAACTGCTGTGAAAAGCACAGTCAGTGTCGTCTTCCAGTATGCCTGCTTAGATAAAATGATAGACATGTAACAATGACAGACACACTATTCCTCCAGCGACTGGCTAGCCTTTTGTTAAAAAGGCCTCTTCAGCTTTCTATACCTGCAGCTTTTCGAAGATCTATAATCATATTATTCACATGAGCTCTACCTCTGTATGGGCCTAAGAATGTGTACTTTTGTTATTTAAAAAAATAATTACTGTTTAAGGAACCAAGTGAGCTTTTCTGGCGCTCACTGTTTCTACTGTTACCCCACGAGGCTAGTATTTGTCTTCGTGCCTGTCTCTGTTTTTCGAGGTTGCGTTGTACATTTGGGAGGAAGGGAATGGTCCAAAGCTGACGGCAGTTCCAGAGTTTTGTACAGAGACGAGAGACAACTGCGCTACGACATTTACAACCTACCTGCCAAACTGTGTATGTACAACTCTTATTAATGGATGTTTATCATCACTGTATTTGTAGCACGTTATTGTGTATGTGTGAACATTTGTGAGCATGCATTTGTGATATGAACTTATTAATATGGTGTTTGTCTTTATGATACAATGGCGGGGTCAAAAGGGAAAGTGGAAACAAATTGGGGAGAGGTTTGTGGTGTGAATGTGCTTGTGTTACTAGGGACAACATTGTATTCATTTGTATTTAAAAATAACAACTTTTCCACAGTTTCTTTTTTTTGAGATTATTAGAAAACACCCTTTCACAGGGCACAGAAGAAGCTGGGGTACAGAGAATAGTTGGCAAACAAACGCGCAATGAAGTCCGAAGTACACAAAATGTGACATTGCGTTCCCCTGCCCCTTCTATTTCGAATCGCACGCCAGACCCGTGAACCATTTCACGTGGTACGGCCCGGTTTGCGAGGCTTCGAACGTCACCACATACGTCATCAACACAAGCCTCGATACGCGATTCACAAAAATCTCCCAGGATTACTCGACACAAGCTTCGAAGCCTCAAATTAGGGTGTTTACTGCAAAAAAAGATGCTTCATCTCAATGAAACTCCCATGAATAAATAATAAATAATGTGGCCGTGACTAGATTTTAGTGGAGGTAATTATTAAAAGCAGGACATGAAATTACAATAATCGGCCTGTTTAAATGTAAAACACTGAGTCAGGCTGAAGGCTGAAGGAAAACATGTAGAAAGCTAAGTGGGATGAAGGAGTACTGTGGCATTTGTTTGACATAAGGCTACAGAAGAAAGGTGGACAATGTACATTTACAAGACAGAACTGATAAAATGAAAAATGAAAATGAAGCATCATTTTTTGGAATGAAGATTAAGATTGTTTTTATTTCTCTTTTTTCTAGGGAGATCCGGTGTCGAGGAAAGAAGTATTTGTTGCTGTGAAAACTTGCCAAAAATTCCACTCTGAACGATGTGCGTTATTCCCGACTCTTTTTTTAAAGGACAAAAACAGTTTCATTCATTAAAAAATATTATCTTCTGCAGTGGTGCACAGATCCTTAACCTAACTTAAAGTACCAATACATTAATGTATACAGAGGTGTTATCAGCAAAATGTTCTGGAAAGTAAAGTGACCTGTTCTGCAGAAAAAATGGTACAGTTTAACTAATCTTAATCTGAAAATGAGTTCATTAAAAAGTAACTACATCTATTAAATAACTGTAGTGGGGTTAAACAAACCCAATGTCCTCCTGACATCTAATGTAGCATTAACAGGAAAGTGAAGTACAAGTACCTCAAAATATTACTGAAGTAAAGAACTCAAGTAAATTTGTAATTACTTTCCACTGACATTCGGTTACAATATTGCCGCCTCAGGCATTATTGTAATGAATGAACCCCATTAAGCACAATATTACAATGTTTTATTCATTGTAAACGGGAAGTGAAGAGTAATTATATTATTTTGTTGTTGTTAAACAACACGACACACCGACCAGCACATTCGCAAGCCAAACTGAACTCGCACTTTATCTTCATTCTGAATAGATGGAAATGAAATGGAAATTACAGGACATTTAGCTGCAAAAAGTTTGACTTGACACTTTTAAGCTGTCACTGCTTTTTTTGTTTACTTGCCACTTAACAGTCTGCTGGTCATTCAGTCGTGGTTGACCTGTCGGGGGGGGGGACTAGGTTTTTCTAGCTTTTTAAAATCCAACAACCTGTCGGCTGAAATTGCAACAGTTTGTGTAATTATCCAAAACATTTACGTCTGTTTTTAGGGTCAAAAAGAGCCAGTAGTTATGGACTGGCTATTTTACACAAATAGAAAGAACAGCGTGTGATTGACTTGGCTGCTACTATAAATTCAGGATTAGAATGGCATTAGAATTGCAGAGCACGCTGTCACAGTGGACTGGACCAAACAGAATAGTGTGTGATTATGACTGGCAGTTATCATTTAGAAGTTTTAATGTAGATGGTGTTCTTATCCAGATGCTCATGCAGTGAGAGTAGTTATCCGGTGTCTTTTTCAAAGACGGCCTAATGGTTTTCTCCCCCCCAGTCGGAGGTGGTAGATATCCTTCTTTATTTGATTCGTCCTTTGGAGTTTGCAGTACGCACTTGGAGATCGGCTTAATTAAGAGCTCTGTGCGTGTCTCTCTATCACCCGGTCTCTGTTCATCCCTCTCCTCTTTCTCCTCACAGTACCAGTCGTGAAGGCAACCTGGGAGAAAGATGCTGAGTTTTTAGAGTATTACAGCGATGTTGCTGATGCCTCCATACCCACAATCAATCTGGGAGTGCCCAACACTGAGAGAGGTGAGCTGATCCAGAACAGTCATTCCCAAACACCGGGTCGGGACCCTCAGGTGGGTCGCAGGAGATTTTATTCGGGTTGCCAAATACGTTTGCGGAATTTCTTCCAAAGTCTTTTATTTAACATTTATATCTGCAGTACCCCTTTGTACTACAGGAGGAAGCCTGAATGTCTGTGTTGTTCTGATACATGTAGGCTACTTATAACCTTTAATCTAATATGAAAGGCCCGTGTACATTCTGTTTGTTTTACTGATGAGAGGGGGGAAAAACCAGCACCTGTTCACTCTGCTACATTAATTTAATTGGTCTAATTTATAAAGTATTTAATATGTGTTTTCAATAACACTCATGCATAATACAAAGTTGTGATTTATTAAACAGCATGTTGCCTTTGAAATGGCTGCTTCAACCCTTTCTGCAAATTCAAAACCCACATATCTGTGTTCTCTGAGAAGTCGGAATAAGGTTTTAATATTTCAGGAAAAAGTCACAATATTACAATAATAAAGTTGTAATTTAATGAGAATAAAGAAAATAATCATATTGCGTCACGTAAAGAAGGCAGGAACAAAGCGAATACAAACACAAATAGAAACTATTTCTCAACCAGATGGCAGATGAAGTAGCTAACCCTTTGTGGAAAGAACCATTAGTAAGTCGACGTAATGCCGGTCTGGCCATGATTTTATTATATGAACTTTTAATGAATTGAAATGAGTGCTGCTCTCACCGCACCGCATCTCATGAGCCTCAAACCTGCTTCACCTTTTTCACACTATTTATGTTTATATTGTCTCCCTGCAGGGCATTGTGGGAAGACTTTTGCCATCTTGAGGCGGTTCTTGAGTAAAGCTGTGCCAAAGACTGATTGGCTACTTATTGTTGATGATGATACACTCATCAGGTAACTGGGAGAAGAGATTCTGTTTTAACCCACCATTCCTAACTTTAGTGATTTATAGCATCAAGAAAAACATTCTGTATCAATGCTTTTTGATTGAAGTTGCAGTGGTGGCTAAAGAATAATTGACATCTCTTTTAAAGATGTATTTAAAGATCAAGCACACAGGTCACCTGCTGGCTAACGATCCTGTAAAGTCTGTTATTATGGATATTTGATGTAGCCAGGACCTTGTGTCTACATACAGCATGCACCTCACTCCCCCCTTGTGTCTCTCCGTCTGTTGGTTTTTGTCCATCCATAGTTTACCCAGGTTGCGGCGACTGCTGCGATGCTATGACCCAAAGGAGGCAGTGAGCCTGGGGGAGAGATACGGCTACAGCTTGCTTCTGAACGGATACAGCTACACCACCGGAGGAGGAGGGTGAGGCTGCGGTGGTTAGAGCAGTTGCTGTAAAAATGTTCAGACGGAGAGTGAAGCGAATTTTTGCCATGAATTTATTATTATTCAACGGACACACTAACCACTTCTGCGGGAGTGTGTCTGTGTCTTTGTGCTCATCTCAGCCTCTGACTGAACTCAACGCAAAACTGGTGCTTTCTGTTATTTCCCTTTTTTTCTCATTTTAAATCTGGTATTTTTGTAAATATTATCAGTAATGACTAGACTTTAACACCTTAATGATGCACATCAGTTTTCCTCAGACAATCACACACAGGCACATAAAGCTTGTACCGTATATATATATTTTTTTTTTGTGAAGATAATTCCCTTTCTTATTTAAATATCTGCGTTCTGTGTGCAGGATGGTGCTCAGTCGTGCGGCAGTGTCCATGCTACTTTCCAGTGGTTGTCGCTGCTACAGTGACGATGCTCCTGATGACATGGTGCTGGGCAGGTGCTTCGCTTTCCTGGGTGTTCCCATCACACACAGTCCCCTGTTCCACCAGGTAGGGAACAATACACACAGAACACACACACAAGTATGTGTTCTTAATATGATTGTGAGGACAGCCGCTAATAACTGTTTGTGGAAATAACTGCAATTAATACTGTGACTGTATTGTTCCACTAAATAAGCTAAAGGCCATCCAATGGGAGATAAGTTTAAGACTTGTCCACAGGCGTCCCACAAGGATCTGTCCTGGGCCCACTGCTGTTCTCTTTATATATCAATGATCTGCCATCAGCATGCCCTGACACCAACATCCAAATGTATGCAGATGACACTGTAATTTACTTGCACGGTAGCAAAATGGGACAAGTTGCAAATGAACTCACTAACTCCATGGCTCATGTAACTGCATGGTTAAAGCAATGCTGTTTACAACTAAATGTATCCAAAACAGTATGTATGTTTTTTACCAAAACAAACTCTGGTAGTGTAGAGCCGGATGTTTTTGTATCTGGGCAGAGGCTACGGGTTGTACCTGACTACAAGTATCTCGGAGTACTTTTTGATTCCAAATTATCATTCAAATCTCAGGTGAAAAAGGTCTGTAACTGGGTCGAATTTAATCTATCAAATTTCAGGTTCACACGGAACTACATGTCAACAGAGGCAGCTAAGACATACATGCTGTCTATGGTTGTTTCCCATATCACTTACTGTTTAACAACCTGGTCACAGGCTAGCACCACGACTCTGAAACCACTACAGTCATTGTACACTCAAAATCCTTGATAAAAAATCTGTTCTTTCTCATCATTGCCCTATACTAAAAAAATATAACGTGTTTAGTTGGGAGAACATGATTAAATATGTGAATGTCTGTCTCATGTACAAGATTATACATGGCTTGACCTCTCCTCCGCTCAAACAATTTGTTCTCACAAGAACAACTGGATATCGGCTCACAAGAGGTGCAGCAAGAGGGGATTGCATTATCCCACTCAGTGTCTTTCACTCAGTCTGCATTTTCAGTACAAGCTGCACTACAATGGAACTCCATCCCAGTGACCATTAGAGAACTACAAACATACAGTTCATTTAAAGCTCAATTAAAGAAATGGTTAGTTAGTACCCAGCTCTGTCAGCACTAGAATGTAACTGCTCCTCTGTCTGTGTTGAACTTCCCTCGATCTGTCTGTTGTCACCCGTCTGTCTGTCTTGAAATTGCCGGTTGACCCTCATCTACCTGCATGCTTGTCTTTTATTGTTGTTTAGGTGTGTCTGACTGATTCATGTATTTCACATACTCTGCATGCTTTTATGTTTTGTGCCTCTGACATGGATGTTTTTTAGTGTCTAACAATTGCATCATAATATTGTCTTTACTCCATGTTTCTATTTTAACATAATTATCCCTCATTTTATTTGCTTTGTGTGTGTTGACTTTGACAGCCTCTGTGTTGCATGTCTTGTTAGTACTTGACAATGTATAAGAGTCTCCTGAGTGAAGATACTACGTATATTAATATTCTCACTTTTTTTCATTGTTTGTGCACGCATTATAAAGCGTCAATATTGTATAACCTTTTCAATTTAATCTTACATTCTGGTTTATATTGTAACATCTGCCTCTTGGGACTACAGATGAAAAATAGCCTTTTGAAAAATAGCCTTCTGGCGCATTTACAGAAATGTTTCTATTAATGTGCACTGGCCCTTATCAAATAAACCAATAAATAAAAAAGCTCTGCTCTCTTCATATTTCTCTTCAATGTAGGTCGGAAAAGATAAATACAGAAAAATACTGCCTTGTGGGTTATGCAGGCTTTTATCACAGGATATTGAATTCCCCTGGAGAAAACCACAAAAGCATGCACACAGAAACAAACACACAAAGCCATTTGTTCTTATTATAGGCTCGACCGTATGACTACTCCGAAACACTGGAGCAGGCTGTGTCGTTCCACAAGCACTGGAACATAGATCCTGTGATCGTCTTCAAACTCTGGCTGCAGGACACACACCCACGAGATGAACTGTAGAAACACTGTGTTTACAATACTTCAAACACTGAATCTGAATATGCACAACTGCGTCGAGCTAAAGATCAGCAAACAAGCAGCGAAACGCGCCCTGAAACATAATTCTTAACCACCTTAATACCTGCATTGATCAATATTTTGTATGTCAACACAAAATCAAATGAGTGTGTGTAATGTTAAAGTGGTCGCAGAGAATTACCAACCAAGTTTTTTAACTCCACAGAGGTTTCTAGCTTAATTGAGCCCAACTATTTGCCGAAATGGCCTGTGCATAGACCGTATGATTAAATCAGCAAAACCAGCTTTATTAAAAGCACCAAACAGCAGACAGACAAACTGCTGAGTGAATACAAATGTTTATCTGCCTCCACTGGATGAGTAGCTTTAAGCACCTGTATATGTCAGGGATTTGAAGATGGCTTCGTGTCTTTCCTTTTGCCGCCAAACATTTGGCTGTTAGCAAGAATTACAGACTTAGAGACTTTACATGTTTCGAGGAGCTGGAGGACTTCCTGTGGACCTCAGCGCTGTCTATCAGCCATTAGAGAGACTGGATCGTGGGAGTGGATGTCTGACGATTGCTGCTGTCACTTTACCCCGAAACTAAATTTTAACTATGAACCAAGATGTTTCATTTATTGAAGAAAGATTGTGTTGGTATATTTGTGTGATCTGATATGATATCTGTTAAGGATGTCTCAAGTCATTCAATGTTTATTTTGTTTTATTTAATTTATTTAGCCGGTTAAGTCAATCTCTACAAGGGAGACCTGAAGTTGCAGACAAAACAATAGAAAATCAGGCAACAGCTTCGATAAAATATTACTAAACAGGCAACAGACAGCTTAAAACACATGTAAGCTAAGAATAGAGACAACTAACAAACTAGTCATTTACCATGGAATATTCCTAATGATGAAAACAATTTATTTCAATAATATTTTACAGAATTTTGTGTTCATTTCTATTTCATGCAAACAAAACTTTTTCGAAACTTCTTCTTCTTTCTTAGACTTAGATTTCCCCAAATATCAAACTGTTCCATATAATTTTGAATTCATTTTATATATTTTGAAACAAATTTCAAGATTTTGCATAAAGAGTTGTGTAGATATTGTTGTTTATTTAGCAAATGGAATATCATTAACCAAATGAGTCCCTGGTGGGGTTTTGTATAATTTGTGTGGTTTAGTAGATTGGTGTACAAGTAATTACAACCACGGCTGTCCACATTCTGGAGCTGTTTTTATGAATATATAAATGTTTGTGCATGCTTGCTGAAAACCTGTTGAATTACATTTTTCGATAATTTGAAAATAAAATATTCATTGTGTTGAACAAAACTTTTTGTGTTTTTTTTTGCCTCATAACAGACTGACATGAAGGAAGACGCAGAGAAACACAGAATTATGACTTTGTCTTTCTCGAAAATAACTACAGCGTGATCATGATATTACGTTGATGATATTGCATTCTGTGTAGTGAGTGTGTGGCTTTCAGTCTTCCAGACTTGTCATTTCTCATTGAGGCCAGAATCTCATGAGCCGTGAAGTGCCTTTGTATCATGTCACCGTGACATTAGTTACTGTAGCAACAGGGACATTGACTGCCTGTAGTGACATTCCCGTTGTGACGGTTTCTCTTGAAGGCTTTGTGTGATGTCCGGCAGATGACATATTGTCATAGATATGCATTCAACATGCATCCTCGCAGAAAGGATGAATACGTAGATCACTCTATTCATATCACCGTGGTGCTTAGATTGTTAACGGTGTCTGTTTTAAAATGCTTCAAACAATGATTGAAGCAAGACAGGATTGATATCTTTTTCAGTTTGCTCGCCTTGACTCTTAGAAGTTGAAGTTTTTTAAAGTTTTTATTAAACTTCCCTGAAATTTCATATCAGGTTGCAGCTGCAGGGATGTCCTGTATTTCTGGGCCTTTTAATGCATTGACGTTTCATGTCAACATCACAAAAATGGATCAGTCTGTTCCACTGCCCGCCACTTTCGTTCACAGACACAGATGCACACGCACCGTCGTCGTTAATCCAGTGAGACGTTATGGACTCCACAGGGCTCTCCCTCTCAACAGCACACACAGGAGACGTTTCCAGCTTTGCAGTTCACAGACGAAACAGTTTGACAGCTGTTGCTCATGTTTCCTTTGAGTCTAAAGCAGCTGTGAGAGTCTGCAGCAGCAACGCTCAAGTTTCTTCCTTCAGTGCTCCCTCGTCTTCCTGTTTACATCAGTGACCAGTAAATCTATCAGATTAAACACAGATGGTTCTTATCAGCTGGCGCATGAAAATATTTAGTCACGGTTGCTTTCGCCTGTCAACAATTACTGCATGTCAAATGATTTACTGTTTGGTCTTCCTGCTCCTGAGGCTGTCCTGTCATGTGTTTATTTAGCTTTCACGACATTTCTGATTGATTACATGTTTCTTATCTTTTAAAGCGAGAATGGACACATTTAATCAAAGACAAATCTGTTTTATGATTGAGAGAATTTTTCACTGCGTCATGGATAAGTTTGAGTCAGAATATCAGCCAGCACTTATTTGTTCACCTTTATTTCCTTTTTTCACTCATTTATCCAATTAAAGAGCAGATATCAGTGATTGTTAAAGGCACAACCTGTGATCCAAACAGGACTAGGGAGTGTAGGCTTGAGTATTTTTAAAGCTTGAACGGCGAGCTTTGAGGTGCGTGAGCGTGTTCTGCAAAATGCATTCACGCAATCTTCAGCTTTGTTGACAATGTCCAGTTATCGAATCCGCTTTCAAATATGCTCGTGTTAACAAACAGTACATCTTATTATCTTTATATCAAATTATCTATTTGAAGATGGTTCCAGAGGAAAATGTACTAAGCCTGACTTGTCCCTTTCAGACCACTGTGCCAAATCATATGATTCCCCTTCTCAAAGCGTCTTGGCTTTTTTTAAATGGCATTATCCACACATGATTTACTCACTGATGATCACTTAAAAAGGCTCTTTCTTTTAGGGAGAAACCAGCCACACCACTGACCTGTTTGTTAATCACCTTGTAGCTAAGTGCTCCAAGCTTTATTCTCCACCAATGAAAAGATCCACTGACCTTTCCAACTTCCTCAAGAAGTTCTGATACTTAGTGAACTGTCAAATGTATAACGGTGCTTCACTTGAAACACATGAACTGGTATTGTTGCCATGTGCGTGGTGTTTTGTCTAATAACAGTTACTTATTTTCAGCAGAATAATGCTGCAAAATATAATGATAGTTTCTACGCATGGGAAAGGGAAAAGAGGATTTGTCTGATTCTTTTCAAGAAGGACAGTCGGAGTCACTTTTGTGGGCGAGTTTGAAAACGGACGTGATGAGGGTTTTATCAATCCGTTCAGGTGATTCATTTAGATATAAAGCTGTTTCAAAGCGAGCCATGAGAACACATTTATAATACTTATGAACATCGGCGTGAAAGAAGCTTGTTTCAAATTATGCTTTTTACAGTGCTAAAAGCTTTTGATGTTTATCAGAAGAAGAATTCATTGCTCTCAAAGCACACGTAGATCACTTCAAAGCTGTAAATCATTTGTCCTTTGTCTCGTGTGAGGTTGGTCCTAAAATAAGTATGTACGGTTAGGTTTTGTCAACAAAACAAACTTAAGGTTTAGGCAATAGAACCACTTAGTTGGGTTTGGGAAAACCTTCACAAGTGTGTCTTTTAGCAACAACGCTTTGAAACTCGCCGTCTCAATCACCTGTCTTGTGGTTGAAAATCCTGTGTTTGTTTTACACATCCATCCACCTCACCGCCCGCTTTCAGTGGTCTTTTGTAATATTTAATACAATATCAGCAGCGCTGACAGTTGCATAGTCGTAGTTGCTTTTCATTTGTGTATACACCATTAAAAGCATCCTAATTGACTTTTATTTGGTATTATTTACGTGTTGAGTGACACAAGATTTAAAAAAAAGGAAAACCTGTGTGTCCGTGTACGCTAATTGCTAGATTTTAATTGCGTGACTATTTCACAACCTGCCGTGAAACTGGGTTGCATAATTAGCATATTCATGCTTGGGTTGTAATCAAAGATGTGTTTTGTGAGGTCACAGGGACCTTTCACCACCCAAATCTAATTAGTTCAACATTGTGTCCATATAAACGTTGTGCCAAATCTGAGGAAATCCCCTCCAAGTGTTCCCGAGAAGCCTGAAAAGAAGAAGTGGTCCTTTTCTGTTTTCACTGTACAACCACAACGTTTTTCAGATCAGCTGGTCCAGGTTCAAATAAGCCACTATTTGGGTTTTTCTTTTGTGTAATTGATATCCAATGATATGAGAGAAGACAGACTGGAGCAAAGTGCATTTTTCAAAGTAAACACAGTCAGTATTGGTGCCACATCTGAAGCATTTCAGTCTCGCTAATCCGTCTGCTCCCTTCGGCCGGCCTGAATGAAAACAAGGCGCGGCTAACAGCTTTCTTGGCATCTCTTCTTTATGTGGACACGAAACTGAGACCAAAGAGCGCTCTAATGGCATTCAGATATAGCTCCGAGACAAAGGGGACGGCAGCATGTTAATGACATGCAGATGGAGTTCAGTCCATGAGATAAACAAACAGACACACATGAGAACACAGGCGCTATCTTGCTGTTTGATTGAATTAAAGCAATTATGAGCTGATACAATCACAGGAGGATGGAGAGCTGTACTAGTATGCTAGCTTTTCCATTTGAAGTGCTTCGAAACAAAACTCAATGTTCAACATTGTTCTGAGAAGATTTGCTTCACTGGAAGAAATAAGCCTGCAAGTTTGTTCAGACAGACGACTGGAGAGCACTGCTTCCCTCAAACGTTTCTCTATTTGCTGCAACATGTATTAAATGCAACCTTTGCAACAGGGCGGTGTGTTGTAAACGTGTGCTTTTGCTCTACTGTGTTGCTGCTGTGCTGCAATGTTGCAAACACCTTGTGCAGAAGGATTTGTAGAGAAAAATAAATCCCGTTCTCACCAAACTTCCTGCAATTCTAGTTTCCAAAGGGTTAAATAACTCTGAAGGCCGTCGCTGATTCACTTCATTTTGCCAAGTGTTCTCTGCTTGTGGTGAACTTCTGTGTTTCTGTGTTCGTGTCCTCGGCAACATGGTCACTGAGTGTTGTTTTGTTTGTACAATGTCATTCTGTTAATTTCTGCTCTTAGGCTGGTGTCGTCTTATGATGCTTTGATGCCGGTGATTTTCAAAGTGGTGAAGTATCAACACTCATGTTTGAGTTTGATATTTCAGTGTAATAGGCTGAACCGCTTTTGTGGCATGCTTCCTCACAGGCTGCTGTCATTGCTTTGTGAGGTCCTGTTGCCTCAATATCAATTAGATGTCAAGCACATGGTTGTGCAGTATGTAGGCTTTAAACCAAGACTGCCTTTGGCAGAAGATAGGAGGTCACGCTCACACTTTCCCCACGCACTTCATGTTCAGCATTGTCATCCACTCCGAAACAGTGGAAACCGTAGCTTCCTAAACAGGTCACCTACAACAAGGAGCAGTTTGAAACGGAAAAGAGAGAAACTTAATCTGCTCACTTTCTGCTCAGATTCAAACACACAACTGCAGCATGTCGCTGCCCGAGTTCCAAGCTTGAAATGCTGCTGCAACCTGAGCAAAACTATTTTTTTGGTACAAATTGAGCAGAATACATTTCCTCTCCTTTTTTTCTGTGTAGAGTTAATCACTCGGGAAATATCTCCACTCAAATCATTGGTTTATGTGACAGCTTACTGAACCGTAAACTTAAATCAATGATAGTCGACTGCTGCTTTTACTGCATAACATTTCAAAGATTGTTTCTCTCAAGCTGTGATTTTATTAAATTTTTTTAGCTTCATAGCTAAAACATTTGTAGACAGAAATAATGGGCAATAACATTTAACTGCAACAGCTTCCACTCTTTTGAGAGCTGGCTGAAGTTCTTCCTCACTAAACTCATAAAACTGTTTCTTTATGGACCGGGCTTTATGCACAAGGGAATTGTTATGATGAAACTTTTGTCTAAACTATGCATCCGTACCATTAGCATAACGCGTAACTTTGTTTGTTTGATCTGTTCTGCAGCAACATGTCAACAGTTGGTCAGTTGAATTCCGTCTGGCGTCTCATCCTGTCTTGGAATTGCCACTGCTTGAATCAGTGGGCCTGGTTGTGATTTATAAAGATTTAACCCTGGCTGCACTGCAGGTTTGTGCCCGAAAAAAAAGTCAGACATGTTTGATGTTTTATTCCTCGACGACAAGACAGA